ACACCTCAAGCAAATCTCCGTCGCACGGCCCAAACAAACATAGCGAGCAACTGAGCTATTAGTATTTGTCCGTGTTACAACACACGAAAGGACTCCAAAGCACACTTCACTCTGATTGGGCAGAAAAACACAAAGATTTTCTGGCACCAATCAGATGGCAGAACGACTGCGACCGTTTGGAACTAGTCTTGTAAGACAATGTCCCCAGGGGCTTTTCATGCCCTAACTTGAAATCGACCCACAGCCCCTGGGTCTCCGAGGATGAAGGTGACAATGCCCAACGTGATAGGAGATAGATGTCCATAATGCAAAGGCGGCGTGAATTATTTCCTGCGTCTGGTAGAACTTCACAGCGCCTACGGTTGAAGTAATAAGGGTTTTAGACAGAATTTCAGGGAATTGGGCGCATGCTTAACAGTTTTTGACCTTTGCCCATTTTCCGTTTTGATTCAGGTACACCATTTAAGTTGAAAACGGGTAAGTACGAGCTCCACCGATTCTCTATCTTAAATGTTTGTTGTTTGCGTAAATTAAACGCTCCATAAGCAGTTGCTTTATGCAGAAATTGGGAAGGTAGGCCTAGGTTAGGCTAAAACGTGACCTTTTTTCAGAAAATGTAGAGCTTTGCAGTAAGATGGAAGTTTTCAGGTTTATTTGAGTACGTAACTAAATTGTGGTTACTAGTGGTTCTTGCGTAAGCAACGAAGCATTTCTTGTCAAAACGACGAACCGCCAATTTGACTGAAGTTGATATTCGCATATCACATGAGGCAGCAAATGTAAACGTCCTCGTGCTCTAAAGTGATCGAGTTTTCAACATTCTGCGTTTAAAATTTTTGGATAAATGGAAAGTAAAGACAATTCCTTAACTCTAGCAGTACTTGTTTCACTAAAACACAATGTCTCAGAAAACGCTTCAAACCTTTCTTAACTGAGATCCAACATGGCGGCTCTAACTTCCACAATTATGAGCCTCTCTTCTTACGACTTCCGATATGACACTGTAATGGAGGTTGCGTCGACTAATTTTTTTCGTTAGCTCTGCAAAGTCCTCGAACGATCACAAATTTAAGGACAAGGCGTCGTGGTAACACGATTTACTCACCTAGTTGGTTGGCCGAGTCTTCAATTTTCCCCCTTTCCACGAGGCAATTCTGAAAGCTAATGCATATGTTTGTTTGAGATGCGGAATGCGGAATATTAAGCGCAAAAACTTCTTGTAGACCTACCTGTTGTACAAACATGATTTCCCTTGCTCATTGCAAAGCCTTTTTTTTTCTGGCCATCGCCTTCAAACTGCCAACTGAACTGTGAAGGTGTATATTTCACCATTTTCTACCGCATCATTTATTGACGGGTTGGCTTTTTTTATTGCAATGTAATCTTGGTGCAATTGGTTATCAGAAAAGGCATTAGCCAATGACATGCCTGCCTCCATGACAGTGTTGTTGACGTCAGCTGCCCTGGTGCATGGCAACTTGAGGCTTTTTCAGTTTTGTCTGAGTAGACAAGACAGTCATTGTTGTCGTTAAACAATGAAATACATTTGGTGTGGATCACTCTCTTAAACAATAGTTCTTATGAAATAATTTGAAAGACAAGTGTTATTAACCATACCAAGCCTTAAATTTGTCTTAACCAGTCGCATTGATTTACAGTAAATCAGAAAATTTGTTCTGATGGTTAGTATTATACAAAAGCAAATAGTGTCTATTAGAACATACGGATAATATTTCATTTTAAGAGGAAGTGATGTATTGTTTTAACTGTCAGTGGCGACTCATCACTAGCAATTTATTACTGGGAAGGTCATTCATCTTTATTCATTAATCCACCATTCTGATCAATGGCATATTCATTTGTTATCCAACTACACTCTGTAGAGTACAAATTATGCCTAAGACAAGAATAATTATCAGGTGGTATTTGTATTTTAGAGAACCGTTTAGACAAGTTTTCTTGCATTATGCAAGCGACGAATTGGATTGAAGTTACAGAAAAAATGGCAGGCAGTTTGAATAAATTTTCAGACAACAGAGAGTCAGAATGGCTTATGAATATTAATCGAAGTTTATTAGATCAATTGAACAAAGAAAAGCAGTTAGACAACACTGAAATTTCATCATTTATTGAAGAAAATAGAAACGGCAACATGACAATGTGCCAATTCTGTCCTGCTTTGCATACTTCTGTCACGCACTCTCTATAAATAAATATCTATAAAATTTGCCTGCACTGAATTAACAGTTTGGTGTATTGGATGATAAATAACTTGTTAGATGATTTGGTGTGTTGTACCATGGAGTATTTTACTCAAATATTTTGACAAGCCTGTCAGGCTCATCAAAATATGGTACAACTCACAAAATACTCATTGATATTACACAACAAAACGTCATATAAGATATATATATATATATTCAATTGTGTTCAACCAACCAGCAGATAGTCTTCACAGTTAATGTTACACAGTCATGGAAATTGAAAGTGAAAGCATTTTGACACACACAAAGTTCATTTTCTGTAGTTCTCAAATTTCTAAAACAGCATAAATAGAAGGATTCAACCTTTTATCCTCACCAAAGCAAAAAGCGTCAAATAAGTCCATTGAAACAGGCACGCATGTAATCATCTGTTCTTGAAAGGGCCTAGATGTCTATGCAATGGAAGGTTTATTTTAGTCATGCTTGAGATGAAAGGCCAGTAATTCAGGGACTTGCCTCTGACTTTTTCTCTTGATGCTGAATACTTTGAAAGGCTGTATAGAATTTATAACCAGGTTTGAAATCAAAATTTGCAGGCAATGGCATGGTCTAAAAAGCAGTGAGGCAAGAATTTATTTTTATACAGGAAAATAGTGCTGCTTCCAAATTAAGTTTTTTGTCATCAAAATTGGAACAAAGTTTTCCCATGACAGGTCACATGTATTCAATGTAGCATTTTAGCACACCCTGCAGCAGAGGTTTTTTTTCTACTCCCTTCCATGCTATGAGTAAAAGGAAAGTTGTCCTTTTCCTTGTAGTGTAGAAAAAAAACCTCTGTTTGCAGGGTATTAAGCACGTCGACACAACATTGACATTGGAGTAGAAGACAAAATCCCACCATAAAAACACTAAAATACTTACTTGCCTTAGGTTGTAAAACATTTACATTTTACTGGTGTTAACATTTGAGTTTGTGTTTACTACGCGCCAATGTTTCTTGTACTCTCAATAGTTAAAGTTCCTGTTAACGTCCAATTATCTGATTGTAACAGGGATATAAAAAATGTTCAGTATGATTGGTAAACGAAGAGAACTTTAAGCGGTTAAGGTCTGTGTCACTTTCAACTATGGTAAATGCTCTAATAGGTGTGAGGGGGACTTATTGGAGGGGGAGGAAGGGGGAGCTGTTATGTTATTTTTGTTTCTGATGAAGGGAGAGCTCATTATTTTGAAAAAAAAAAAAAAAAAACTGGCTCTAGAGGATCTACTTGAAATAACATCACTGCCACCAAAAGAGGACTGCCACACTGGTTAAAAGGCCTTTTGCCAAACCACAGATCAAGCTGTATGGTAAAATTTATGTCTTGTCTATTTAATTAGCGCTAGAGGGAGAGCATGTGAAGTAGCTAATATCAAGTAAAATAGCCTCTCATCCATAACTAGCCATTTCAACTCCACCAACAACAAAAAAAAGGCGTATATGAGCACGATCCTTCGCAGTAAAGCACTATTTGAGCAATAGTGAAAATCAGACCTGAAAAAATTTCAGGCCTGTACGGGATTCGAACCACTGACCTCTGCGATACTAGTGCAGCGCTCTACCAATTGAGCTAACAAGCCAACTGGGAGCAGGCCATCAAATTAATTCGANGTAATAAACCCGTAGATGATAAATCAAACAACAACAAACATATGAAACATATGTGTGAACTGCGGTTATGAGACGTATATGAGCACGATCCTTCGCAGTAAAGCACTATTTGAGCAATAGTGAAAATCAGACCTGAAAAAATTTCAGGCCTGTACGGGATTCGAACCACTGACCTCTGCGATACTAGTGCAGCGCTCTACCAATTGAGCTAACAAGCCAACTGGGAGCAGGTCATCAAATTAATTCGACATAAACCCGTAGAAGATAAATGTTGTTTGATTTATCTTGGTAGAGCGCTGCACTAGTATCGCAGAGGTCAGTGGTTCGAATCCCGTACAGGCCTGAAATTTTTTCAGGTCTGATTTTCACTATTGCTCAAATAGTGCTTTACTGCGAAGGATCGTGCTCATATACGTCTCATAACCGCAGTTCACACATATGTTTCATATGTTTGTTGTTGTTTGAACAAAAAAAAAGTTGGCCATTTTTTTTTTTTCTTTTTTTTTAATTTTTAAAATTTTTTAAACATACTCTAGTGAGCAGCACACAGCAACAGATCTTGCCAATTTCTTTATTTTCTCCTACCGGTTTTGTCTGATAACACAGACTTCGTCAGGGAGTTTGAACAAGATAGTGAAGGAACTTATTTTATACCTAATCATTGTAGTACAAAACACATTTCAATAAGGGTGTGAACAGCGAAAAAGCACCCTAAAAACATTACGTGCAGGATATGACTAAGATCCTGCATGACAGTAAAAATGTGCAATGTTTAATCTTAGAAGGAAAATGTTTAATTTTGGGGCTCGTGGATTTAATGAAACCAGTAGGGGAAAATAAGAAGTTGATAAGATCTGTTGCTGTGTGCTGCTCACTAGAGTATATTTAAAAAAATAAATAAATAAATAAAAAATGTGGTCGCCATTCTACATCACCCCAAGGACAAAAACATGTGGAGCAAAAAAATTTTTGGGATCACTTTCTGAAATTGCTCAGAAACTAGGCTCAACTCAGTAGCCAAGCCTACTTGCCCAGGCCTTTACATGACCTTTTTTGTTTTGAGATGGTTTAGGTGGTTTTGGGTGGTTCCATGTTTTAGTAACTACCGTCAATAGTGACATTTCTCAATGATTCTGGGCCTTTCTGTTTGGAAGCAACAAGAATGGACAGGTCATTTTGTAAGGTGACTGCAAAGGGTAAATTTGTTCAAAACAAGCAGGATTTCTTCAACACATGATGTATTTTCAAAATGGTAACGTGTGATGGATATCTTCACAAGATTAGTTGAAAAGAGACATGATATTTCTCCTAAAGATTAAAAAATCATTGGATAACTTTGGTGAATATTTCAGTCCTGGGTTTCAGTGAAATAGCTAGTAACATTTACTTAAACAGCTGGTAAAATTAACCAGTTACCGGCTCTCGAACTCTCAATTGGCAGGTGGGTCCATAAAATGAACCTCTGTAAGATATGGAGTATTTTTTGGTATTGGATTTGAAAGGTGGAATTTCTAACTTAAGGCTATTAATTGCAAGATGGTTGAAGTTTTACTGTTTGTGCTTTCATACAGAGTGGTGAATCATTGTACTAATTATAAGTTAGTTTCAGGATGGGTTGCTTATATTTAATTCTTTGAGAATCCCAGTCAGCCCTGGTAAGGACTTCCCCTGATGGTAGGTCCTTGGGAAAGTTGAAGATAATTCTTGTTGCTCTGCAGTGTAGTCTTTCAAGTGAGTCTAAGTTATCTTGCTGATTTCTACCTCCCCATTATGGATACACCATACATGACTTTTGCGAGATTCACTTAATCAATAATCAATAAATCAACAGGATTATAAAACAGTGTTTTGGAATGAAAAGCTTATCGTTAAAGGTGATTTAAGGATTTACTAGATAAAAGTCAAGATGTGTACTCAACTCACAAAATATGTTGTCTCTCATTGATCAATGGTGAATGGTTTTTCCATTCTCTCTCTTGAAATTCAAACTTTTAAGATGGATTAAATCTAATTTTCTACTATAATGTGTAACAACTTCAAAGAAAACATGTACATTATGTCTCATTTTCTCTTTTCATTGATGGTTTTTTTTTAAATCTCGTTTGGATAAAAATCTGCTTATCTTTATGAGACTTAGATTGTAGGCAAAGCTTTTCTTTGGTTCTTGATATGAGTGAACCAGCCCAGCTTGTTATCAATATCCACTCTCAGGAGTCAACTGTGTTTTACCCATTCTAAGTTATTGCCTCTGGGATATAATTTATGTGTGGGAAGGTTGATCATAGTAAAGGGCTCATGGAATGCACAGGGTCTTTTTTAATGAAATGTACTTTTGATTGTGCTTTAATGGTTAACATGCAGATTTGTAGTAGTCATCATAGGCCATGCAGGCCATATAGTTCATGTTGTATCTCTTTATTTGGTACCTTTGTGGTTTTAGAGGCTTTCTCCTACTACTTGTTAAAGAACAATCATTTATTAGAAGGAAACAAAGAGTGATTATAATTGTAAGAAATATGTTGATGATCAGAAATGATTATTGACTTAGTTCTTACTTGATATAATAATAATAATTATAATAACCCATTTATATAGTGCCTTTTCTACAGGATTCAAAGGTGCTGTTTACAAATTTAAAATTAATTAAAGCTAAAAAGTAAAAATAATCACAAGAAATTGACATGAAAACTAGGCGCTTAAACTGCACAATAGATAAATGTACACGATAGATGGGAACTATTTATTGATTCATAAACATCACGATTCATAAACATCACGATTCATAAACATCACGATTCATAAGCTGTATTATATCTATTTTCAACAGTGGCTAGGTATTGAATGCATACAAATATGTTTAAGTTGGTGAATTTGTCCCATGGGCTGGGGCCATGGCAATTTTAGAGGACTGTATGATCCAGGAGCAATTTATCCTTGATTCAAAAGGGAGGTCATTTTTATTGCTGACAAGCATCTATTGGGTTTCATAATTTTGGAAGATCTATCTCGTACAATGTCTTTTGAAATGGTGACCAACATTTTGGAATTGCCTACCACTTACAAATATTTAGGTGCCAAGTGGAAAGTTGATTTTATGCCCTGATACTTAAAAGTCAAGATTTTTAAAGTTGTGCACTTGTCAATAAATAGTCACACATAAATTAATTAAGTTAGGAACTTTGATGTGGATACGTTATGCTTCCATGAAAGTTCTGCTGTGAAGCTTGTCTGTCAAATAAGAAACAAAAACAGCCATTGAATGCTTGTTGTGTAATCTGTTTTATACGAGTGCTTTATTTGCATGTACAAAGTGAAGAACTTCCTGTTTTCTTTTGGTGTAAAAAGTGGCATGCTACAGACCTCATCTATCTATCTGCATATTGAACAATTGTTGCAAAAGAGACTAATATTTAATGATCATTTTATTTACCAAAGTTTTATACTGACAACTCCATTTGGGACCATTTTGTCTCTTACTGGACAGATGTAGAGTAACATTGAATTTGTGTTGAACTGTACCGCAGCCCAAGTTAATATCACAGGATCAAAGTGCATTGGAACCCTGTTTTTGTTAACTGATAAATTTTCCAAGTTTTGAAATCAATTTGCAACAGTTATTGTTGCTTTCATTAAAAACAGTCCTACCTTAGATTATATGTTATAATTCTTTTGAGTGTTTGGATCCCCAACAAAGGCATTGTAAATACACTATAAGTCAACTACTTCTGTCATATCGGACTGTTTATCTCCTAATTTCCTGAGCTTTCCTTTGTGAAATGTATAGCTAGATTTTTGGTTATCCTTAAATGCTCATTGTTTTTATAATCTTGTCTTTACAGGTAAAAGAGGAAATTGAAATACAGTGTCATGTCTGAAAAAAGTAACAAGACGCATTCTCTCCAGGATGTTCTTCTAACTTTGTCACCTGAAAAGAATTTGGAAGGAGCTAATAGTTTTGCAGAAGTTTTTAGAGCTCATGTTTTTTTGAAAGGCTCAGAGGAAAATGAATGTTATAAGAATTCCATCGAGAAGGTACTCAAATTTATTTTGAAAAGGATGGATAATGATCAAGATCAGCTTATCATTACAATTGGCAGTGGCGATACCTGTAATAAACTGACTTTTCCTCTGCTGTCAATTGTCTCTGCATACCAAAGTGGTGAGACAGATTTTTTGGAGAGAATGGCTAGGCACTATCAATATCTTTCCAGTGGGGGTGACTTTCAGAATACCCTTGGAGTTGTGCTCATTCTAAGTAACAACTATAAAATGAGTGAAACATGCTTTTCAGAAGCTTACCGTTGTTTTAAACAGCAAAACAACCTTCTGCGAACTGCTGTTGTTACTCTAAACCAAGCAGCTCTTTGCAAGGTCTCTGGAAACTACAAAAAAGCTTTGTCTTGTTGTCGCGATGTGGTTGTGTTAATCCATGATGTAAAGAGGACCAAACCATTGAACTGTCAGGTGGCAACAAGAGTATTGTTTAGAGTTGCCAATTTGTTGGAGGAATTCAGAGATTACAATAGTTATCACAAGATCCTTAGCATTGGTGCAAAATGTGATGCAGACTGCATCAAGAAAACCTTTTCAGTGAGGTACCTAAAAGAGCTGATGACTTTGCAGCTGAAAGAAAAAGAGGGAAAAATTAAACAGGATGAACTGGATGAGTTTACTCAGCAACTGTTTTCAAAGGTTACAACTCTAAAAGCAGAGTTGCTGAATGCAGACTTTGTGAAAGCTGTTTTGATTGTGGCAGAGATGTACTATGGTATTGGCTGCTTGGAAAAAGCTTGGAATTTGATTGGAAAGTTGGAGCGGACACTCCTGAATATTCATGGTGGAAATTGTGCACTCTATGGCTTTTTACTGTACCAGATGGGTCTCTTTAAAGTTAGGCATGGTGAGGCCAGTGAAGCTCAGGTCACTCTTCTAAAAGCTGAAGAAATATTCATCCATAACTTTGGTAGAGGGTATCATATGGTGGCATCATGCAAGAGTCTACAGGGTACCTGTGCCTTACTCAAAGGAAATCAAACAGAAGCACGCCATCTTCTAAATGAAGCTCATACCCAGTTTGAGAAAATAGATAACCACCACCCAGAAGTTGGAGGAATTCTTTTGAAGTTTGCTGAGCTGGAGAGCAAAGATGGAAATTTTGAAAATGCCAAATTGACTATTGAAGAAGCATTGGAAATTGTTACACTGGCTTGTGGTAAGGTCTCTCTTCAGACAGCCCTTGCTTATCTTCAAGGTGCATCTATTTTGCAAAGAAAAGGAGAATTCATGCTTCCAGCTTTGGACAAAGTGAAGAAAGCCAATGATATCTTTGTTTACCTTGGCTTGCCCCATGATCATCCAGATGTTGCCTTCTGCCATTTTTTGAAAGGCCGGTTACAGTTCTCCTTAGGTCAAGTCAAAGAGGCAGAAGAGGAGTTTCTCTTCGTACATCACCAGCTCTCATCACAGGATGAATTGTCTATGAAGACCAAGGTTCTTGCTGCAGAACTTACTCCTATGTTCACTTTGGTAGATGCTGATGGTTGTGCTATTCAACATTCACTCTGTTCCCATTTTCTCTCTCTTATCAGTCTGGCAGATATGAAAACAGGAGATGAAAAAAGGGGCTATTTGAGGGAACTTTTCAGTTGTTTTGAAGGGCTTCACACAGAGGCCCTGACAGTTTCAGATTATGCAGGAAAGCATGTGCATTGTAAATCACAGAGGATTTCAGAGGCTGACTTCAGTGTTAATTGTATTTTGATGTTTAATTCTTTACTGAACCCATTCCAAACCATTAAGGCCAGGGACTTAAGCAATACTCATGCTACACCATCAAGAGATGAGGTGTTCTTTTCATCACCTTGCAGTGATGATAAGAGCAAGACACAAGAGGATTATGTGTACTTATTGTCACCATCCAGTGAGGATGGAAAGAGGCTGCAACTTTTTCTCTTCTGGAAGACATCTAAAATCTTGGAAAAGCAAGATTTAAGTTATGTCTCGTCTTCTCTCCAGGAAAGTGTTAAACTGCTATGTCTACAACCCAAGCTTCGGAAAGCCTTTTTTGGAGAACAAGAGTTTTGCTTGAAGCTGCCAATTCAAAAGCAATTGCCTGTTATATCTTCTCTTTGTTCCCAGATTGATTGTCTTCCTCTTCTAGTTGAGTTAGAGTTATCAGAATTACACAACCACTGTTTTCCCACCGTATCTGCTGTTTGGCCTTTTGCACATGTGTCTTACTTTTCCTATAGCTTTTTTTCCTCTAATAAGGCACTGCTTTCCTTTTACAAATTGATTTCAAGTTTAGGTAGAACTCTGAAATTGTCTGAGGTTCTTAGCATTTCAACTCCTAAGGTCTTTTCTCCCTCTCAGATGAATTGTGTGGTCTATTTTACTTTTTTCGACCCCATTTGTGCTTCCTTGTCTCTTGCTGTTGAGGAAGGATCTGTTCATGTAAAGTGTCGAACTGTAAAAAATAGTGGGTCAACTTGCATTTGTTGCTCAGTGAAAAGTGCTCTAGAGAGCACCTTGAAGTCTCTGGAGCTTAATTTTGGAGGATCAGTGTTTGAACCAACTCTGTGGTTGCCATGTGTGGGGGACGGTGGTGAACATGATAAGGAGCAAGCAAGATGTTATAGTCATTGTAAGGAATTTCAAAAGAAGATTTCTTCCTCCTCAGACCAAAATTTGGATTTACATGCTCAAACAAAGTGGGAGCCAAATTCTGGTACGCTAAAGGAAGGACCATCTGTTGACCTGTCACAGAATGAGGTAATTAAATTTACTCTATTATAAAATGATTGCATCAAGTTTGCCCATAAAGGCTCATAAAAATTCTCCAGATAATTCATGTTATGGCTTGATATAAATCTATATTTACGTCGTGTAATCTTACGTCTTTTCCAATCTGCGTTTGTTAAAGAAGAGAGAGGAGGGGGCTATTTAGTAACAAGGCAACAAACAATTTTAGAGTGCCCTTTATCTTGAAAAAGTCAATTTTATCCAAACTGTGTGGTGGTTGAAGAGTAATCTTAAAGTCACTGTTTTGCAATCTTTTAAAATCAGCTTATATCTTTTGGAACTTTTGATCATTCACTCTAAATAATTTTCTGAGATGCAACAATAGAGTAGCGAAGATGGAAAATTTCCAAATATGTTTAGACCTTTCATCATGTAGATTTCTTGTCATAGACATTGCCATGGGGTCTCTGTTTGATAAACAGAGAGGCTGCATCAATTGTCAAGGCTGTGCTCTAAGGAAAATTGAGGGGAGCCCAGTGCTCTTAAACTGTGAAATCCAGGGTGCCCAGCATCACTTTTTATGAAAAAACTAAGATTCCTGAGTTGCCTAAGAGCAAAAGTAAGGTGCCAGGGGCCAATGGGCGCTGCTAGACCACAACCTTGAGTGTTTTAAAGTTTAGGGTCAAAATGGTTGATTGTATTGGATTGCTGATTAAGTATTGCAGGTTCAAGTTCTTGCTGTGGTAATTGAACTTTGTTCTTGGATCACACTTTATATGCATGAAATTCACTTATTCAGAATTCATAATGGACAGTATTTCAAGTAAAAAAATTACATTTTCAGCAGGAGCTTGTTTACTGAGATTGTTATCTTCAAAGAGGTACAGAAATAGCAGAAATAAAGTTTGAGTGACTGTGTTGATTTAGCAGTAACTGGGAGGTGCTGTCAGGAGTTGAAAAGATTATCATAATTGACTGTCTTTTTTTTTATCTGCTGTGAATTGATCATGGTTGTTTATTTGATAGGATACCAAAAGCTTATTATTCACAGCCAACTCTGGAGACAAGATTGGCATAGATGTTTGTGTTAGCCTTGTGAAGTGTTTTATGAGAAACAGACAGTTATCTCTAGAAGTACAACCTGTAGGCATAAATAATGGATCGCTTACTACTGATGGCTCAGAAGAACAGGTAAACTCCCTGTTATCTCCTGGGTTATCCTTGCCACTAAACTGTCTGCCCTCGGGTCAATATGATGCTATAAATGAAAAACAAGGGGTAATGCAGAAAGTTTTGCCCTGTTTGGAGGATGTTCACAAGGAAACATGTTCAGGAAAAGAGACAGGTATTATCTCAAACACATCGTCAACTTCACCGGCATTTTTTGTCATTAGTCAAAGCCATGACAGAGCAGCAGAGAAGTCAAGTTGTGAAAAAGGTTTAATGGCAGATTATCATTGTAGCTTAGAAACCAAGGACAATTTGGTACCGAATGAAATTCCTCAAGAGACGTGCAGGGTTGAAAGGGTAGGTACATGCTTCAACAAAGAGGAGTTCAGGGAGGACCACATAGTAGAATTTGATCAGAGTCCTGGACTTTCATTTGCTACAGCTGGAAGAGAGAATGACAAAGGGACTGTTGCCATGGGTTCCCTTGTCTGTGAATTGCAAGATGAAGTTGTGTTCTACCAGGATCAGTGTCAAGAACTAAGAGAAGAATTAGTAAAACTGAAAGAGAAGTGGAAGCTCTGTGAAGATGAGAAACAAGATCTTCAAGCTGAAGTAGGAAGACAGTTGTTTTTAGAAAGCAAAGAAAGGCGATGCAGCAAGATTTATCAGCCCCCTAGTGAACATGCCAGTGGGACGATTGTGCCTGGTAGAGTAAGAGGTGCATCCCATGACTTCTCAGGTACAGGGGCTAAACTGCTTGGTGGTGCAGCTCCTTCCAATGAATCAGGTAAGGACTTTTTTTCAGTTTGAACTTTTTGCCATAAATTGGAATGTTTATCTATATGACTTAGATAGATATGTGACTATTATGTTCCAGATAGGATTCATATTTAAGGTATGTTACCTGTACTACAAATTCGCACTATAGGATGTACATTACTTATCATGTCTTAAAAATGATCACCAGAAAGTGTGCTGGATTGGTAGAGATCATGGTTTTCTGTCTTTATCTTTCAATAATGTACCTCAAAAGGCATATGACATTTGTTGCTGGAGCGAATACTAACACAATCTGGAACCTTTTGTTAGAGCCATTTAGTCCAATGATCAAGTTTTGGCTAAAACTTGGTGCAGAAAACATACCTTTATTTTGGAATTCCACTACATTAAAAGAAGGCTCTGGAAATTTACCTCTCTTAGTTTGAGGGCTTATACTATTTTGTGAAATGAAACGAAACAAAACAAACGAGACTAAGCAAGATCTAACGAAATTAAAGGGATAATGCCAATATAATTATTTTCTAATAAGATAAAGATAACTTTCCCAAGGATTTTGGAGTAATCATTGATTTATGATAAGGATTAATTGTAATTCATTTTGTAGAGTAGTAATTTAAGAAGAGTTACTATTTTGTGAAATCAGCTATTCTTGCCCTGCAGTGACAGAGTGACCTCTTTCATGTCACAAAAATAAATTTAATCATTACAAATTAGGATGTTACCAAGGATTTTGGCCTCAGTGGTGTATACAAGGTTTTCTGTAGGTTTTAATTTATTGCACTAGAGCACCAAAAAGGGCAGGCCAAAATCTTTGTACGTTAGGTTAATACCACCCAAAGATGCCTTTTGTGATAAGAGAATAGCAGCATCGTTACTGCCAACTGAGTGAAAATAGTCCATTTTGCAAAATGTTATTTGTTCTAATTTTATGACTTTATGAAATTAATTTTATATGAATGGTTATAAACATCTTTAGGAATATACTTTAATGTAATGTTTAAATGTATTTTTGTGACCTGAAAAGGGAGCCATCGTTATTGAGGAGTGAAATAGTTCATTTCATAAAATTACTATTTTTCAAAATTATTTTTAATTGATAAGGTTTTAGAAATAAGAGGAGACCTAAATGCTTGGTAATATACTTATTTGCATTATTTAAATGAATTTTTGTGACATGAAAGAGGTCAGGTTGTCACCGCAAGATGACAATAGTCAATTTTGAAAAATAGTAACTCTTCTTGAAGTACTACTTTGTGAAATGAATGAGAATCTGTTTTATTAATTAATGATTGCTCCAAAATCCTTGCAAACATTAATTTTTCTTTATTTATATCTGCATTATCCCTTTAGTTTTGTTAGATCTCACTTGATTTCATTTCATTTTCTTTTATTTTGCAAAATAGTACAAGCATGGTTTTAATTAAGTACACATGCATACATTATACTATTCAAAGATGGTATTGATGTGAATGAGAGAGAAAAGTTCCTGCATTTCTAACAGTTGTCTCACCTATATTTTGTGCCTTTTCTTTTGCAGGGTTGTTGCTTCAACAAAGACTTCAGGAGATCTCAAATTCCTTATCAGAAGTGGACCTAAACCAGATCAAGGGCCTAGTTCGACACAAATTGAATGGTTTTAGACTTGCCAGGATCAGGGAGGGTTCAAAGTTGTTTGAGGAATTAGAAAGAAGAGAGGAGTTTTCCTGTTCCTTTGTTAGAGATCTTCTGGAAAGAATCCATCGTTTTGATCTTGCCGAGAAACTTGCCGCCCCTTTTCACAATGGCAACAAATCATACAGGAGGGAGTCTTGTTCACTTCAAGGGAGCAAACAACTGGATGAGGTGTCTGAAAGTGTTTCTGGTGTCAAAGGTAAACAATCTGATGAAGTGGAAGAAAGGAAAGACACTTATGACAACACTGAAGCTTATGAAGAGGTCCAATTTTGCAACGATTCTAATGTACACCCATTTAACAGCGAAAGGGAAATGGTTGCTGATACTTTTCATGCAGAGATTGTGAATGAATCAAGTTTTGTTGGAGATGAGGATTTGTCAAAGGAGAGATGTCACTCAGCATCAGGCATGTTTCAGACATTTGATGTGCCTAGTATTGGAGTGGTAACTGAAGACAGGTCTCTGTCACCTTCAGTTACAGGTGGACAGGTTGAAAGTGGTGAGCTGAAAGGAGCATGTGGTGCTGGAGATGAAAGGGGCAAGGAAGGCTCATATCAATCCTCTGCTCATGATGGTGAAGAGGGGGAGTTCAATTTTAATCATCACTTCAATGACACTGTAGATGGTGTAATTAATTTACCAGATAGAGCCCAAGATAGATCAGTGCCAGAAGACTTTACTGGTGTGAATCAAGATTCTCTTTCTTATGGAGACAAAACTCAGAGTCAAAATGTTTTGAGTGCAAGGATCATGGCTCAAATGGATGAGGCTATTGATCAGTCTGATTCTTATGTGGGAAATCAGTCAAACAAATGGGAGCGTTTAGGGGCCAGACCAAGAGACAGACCTACTAAAACAGATAGATCCCCAGAACCTTCTTTCCTTTACTCATTGGAAAATTTAGTTCCTCCAAAAGTTGCAGGACCTGTGGCTCATCATGGAGTGGCCAATGCATTCTTAGCTAGACACTCGGAAGACAAAAGTCTTCATGAAAGTTTATATTACACTAATGCTGAGATGATGTTTACCGAGAATTCTTCGTTACAAGGAGCTTCTCGTGTAGATGGCATGGTGAACTTGATGAACTCAAACAAAGCTAACCTAAACTATAGTGACTGTCAATTTTCTTCAAGGCAAGATTCATATCATCAACCACATTCCTCATTATTCCCTCAGACTGGTGGAGCGTGCATTGGAGGAAATAATGGTTCAAACACAAACTTCAACTTGTTAAATCCTAATATAGCTAATGGCTTTGCACCTTGTACAAGAACGCAAGATGAGACTTTTCCATATTTACAAAGGGATGACCTTCATTCAGCATTCACTGGTTCAGGATTGACCTCTGATTTCATGCAGACCACAGGATCTCAAACAGGTGCTTTTAACATGTCAAATTCCAATTTCTCAGTAAAAGACTATGCTCTTGGTACGAGAGAACCTCAAATACCACCAGATGGGCATTTTGCAAGTTTGCACATTAATCAACCAATTCATCCAGAATTCAATGGTTCAGGCTTTGCCTTTGACCTGACAGGGACCACAGGACATGAAATGACACTTTCGGCTACTGTTACCCATAGAAACAGTGACTTCAGTGGCAGTTCATCAATATTACCTTCAACAACAAATGTGGGATTATTAGGAACTTCATCAGTTAATATGCAAACCCATGATTACCGTCCAGATCCTTCCCCAACAGCATTTTCAGGTGCAAGGGCTGGTGGATCTGACAACAGGCTTTCAGCAGGATTAGAATCAAGTGGAAGTAGTCAGTTATTGCCAGTCACAACAGGCAGAGATGTTTTGAATACATCTGGTCAGGGTAACTCTAGTAGCAATGCAATGAACACATCTGGTGATTGTTTGGCTTCTGCCCATCATAGAGAAGGAAGCAGGGCCCATAATTCTTCAAGCTCCGGGTTAATATCTGGTATCAATACAGGAGGAAGTCTCAATCAACAACCTGGCCAAACTGGTGAATCAGTCACAAACAGAAACTATGGCACAGAGTCAGTGGAGTCCACAGATAACTCCCTGCTTGAATTGGAACAGCGGGTTGAGGAAGCTTGTGCAATGGTGGAAAGAGTTCTGATGGAAAGGGAAGAAAGAGAAGAGTTTGGTCGGGAAATTGAAAGGAAAGAGCATGAAATACGAGCAGAAAGAGCACGGAAGAAGAGAGAAAGAGAAGCAAGAGAGCTAGAGGAAGCCAGAGGATGGCCTCAACAGCAGGAACCAGTTACTGGACAGTCTTTGTGGCTTTGTGAACATTACCAACGTCATTGTAGAGTGCGTTTTCCTTGCTGTACGAACTTCTATTCCTGCCACCGTTGCCATAACAACTCTAAAGAATGTGACAATGAGGAAGCCAAAGCAAGTCATGCTACTCACCTTAAATGCAGCTATTGTCATCATGAACAAGAGGTAAATGAAGGGTTTTTAGTCGTGTCTTTTTTTGAGGGTGAAACAAAAAATGCAGGGTAGAGATTCATGACTTTGTCCTCTTTTTCAGTAATTTTGTAAACTTTTATGGTGAGTAATTCATTAGGATGCACTTTCTATGATGCAAAATCTCAGAATGGTTACTACACAATGTACATACAATTTTATTTGTCTTCTAAAAACAAACAAACAAGAAAACAGGCAAAACAAATCTCAATGTATTTAAATACCAAAATGTTTCCTGCTTTCCATGGTGACCACAATGGCCACAGCTTAGAGCACTGCTCTCTCTCTGATAAATGAGGCAATCTATGTTCAGAACTCAGCAATGATAATTTGCACTAATGTGCTTTGTGAGACTTATGATTTTCCAAATCATTTCCTTTCAGATTGCTGAAGATAGTGCCAAGTGTCGTAGCTGTGGAGCAAAGATGTCAGCGTACTTCTGTGCTATTTGTAAACACTTCACCAGTATCGACAAAAATCCATACCACTGTGAAAAATGTGGAATATGTCGGTAAATGACTAAACAAATTCTTCAGTTAATGAGAAACTTTGCTATGGTGTTTTCCTCATCTTTTTATCTTCCAAGGCCACATTAGCTTTGTCAAGGACAGTAATTTCAACCTTTCTCCAAGAGTCATCCCTTTGCAACCCACAACACTGAAGTCATAGGATTTTTTTTTTTTAAGTTTTTCTTACCTTGTAGCTAACTTTCCAGATCTTATTTTTCTATCATTTATAGTGGAGCAGTGGTCTTATAGTGCTATGTTTTTTTGTAGCATACATAAAGACAAATCATTCCACTGTGACGTGTGTAATGTCTGTCTTGACAAGCGCCTCCAAGGAAAACACAAGTGTAGGCCAGACTCTGGCCATGATGAGTGCTGTATCTGTTTGGAGGTGAGCTGTTCACTTGAAAAATACCCTATCATAGGTTTTAAATCATTTTTATTATTTTTGTAACTGTAACAGTAGTTGATATTTTCTTAACAGTTTTCTCCTAATTAAGTTATCCCACCCTGTATGGGTGTCACTGTGTTCTTCCCAAACCAATGTAACCAAAATCACATACACACAAGCTGTGTTCTTTGACCACTTTTTACATGTTATGGAATTTTTTTGTTATTTTCCTAAAAGACATATAAATGTACTTTTGTTCAATTTTTGTCACCCACTACATGTTAATACACTAGAAGATTTGTTGATACCTTCTTTTTATCCCTCATTTCTTGGCTATCTAATAACACTGCTTCAATCATAAATTAAGTATAGTAATTTTTGAGGGTTTTCATGTAGGATGCTTTCAGTGGATGTCAGATTTTACCCTGCTCACACAAAGTTCACCGGGAATGTGCAATAGCCATGATACAGAATGGAATGTAAGCATTTCTTTAATAATTTTTTCTTGACTTCTTTACCTTGTTTGTTAATTTCTGATGTCTTATTAGAGTATGGTATAAGCTTGCCTGTTTCAAACAATATACCTCTACTCCACTTATTATAATTATCTCCTTGAACTGCTTTACTCAAAAGCTATGAATAGATAAACAGTCCCACTAACTAGATAAACAGTCCCACCAACTAGACAATGGAAAGGAATAATAGAAACAACAACTAAAACAAGTCAGATTTTTCTTGCAATTGAGGAACCCATTCAGCACCTTGCTCTCTCACATGTGGGGAATCAGGTTTCTACTGTAGGTCTTATAACCTACATAAGTTAACTTCAGTGTACATGATCAGTTATTGTGTGTTTCTGTTTTAGTCGTACCTGCCCAGTGTGTAGACACCCACTGTACAGCCCAGCTCCAGAATGAAAATTGCTGCTTTTGGTGATAGTGATAGTCAGCTGCACAAGGCTCCCATGTCATTCAGAAGAAGAAGCATGCTGCAGGGAAAAAATTTTTTTTACATTTCTGATGTGTGTACATTTATCTCCATATTTAACAAATATGCATCGTGATACAAACAAATTTGTACGTTGAAAAATGGCTTTCAGTTAGGTTTTGTTCTAAGAATGCTGAACTTCTCTGACAAGGAAACAATTTTGTTTTGTCTGAAAAAGAGAGAGAGCATGTTCTTAAAATGAAAAAAAGGCACATGATATTTAATTAATTACTTGATTGTTGAAGTTGTTTGATCTCGTTGTTTGAAATTTATCTTTGCTTAACTTTGAAGAATTCAGCTGTTACATTGTATTTTGATATGTATTCTGATAAATTTGAGATACGTTCAATTAAATATAAATATTGTTAATCAAGTTGTTCTGGCTTTTCTAAAGATTGGAAAATTGCAATCGACTTTGCCCTTCTGCACATAACCGTAACAGTCACCGCCCCCAAGCATCCCCCCCACACACCCATGCCCAGCCCCCATGTGATTTTCCCACTAATATTTGTATCGTAAAGCTTTTCATGAAAATTTTTACAGTGCCTACTAAAACTAGTTTGTCGGAATGAATAGAAAAATAAAAAGAAGGGAAACCTCTCTTTGGGGTTTCATTGTATTTCCCATAGTGAATTTCCTCACTTACACGATTTTATTGTCCTATTCCTGATCCTGACGTCATCTCCGTATCCACTACGACAGAGCTCGCGAAAGGGAGAAGATGACCGACGGGAATAGCAAAAAAATGTTGTCGAATAATGAAACGAGTTTAGGGGACGAAGATCCAGGTAGAGACCCCAAATTTCATCGCTAAACTAGTGTTTTCTTCTTTTTCAATTTAAATTATGTCAATCGTAGGTGCTCCGTTAGCAGCCTCGGACAAGCTTCAAGGTGACAACCACAGCACCCAGTTAGCCAAGGTAGGTGTTATTGTTTTCGTTCCGTGTGTTGAGGACATTCGCTCGTAACATGTCGATCAAGTATCGTTATAATCACAGCGTAGTTACGGCTTACGGTTGTAATCACAGCGTAGTTACGGTTTGTTACATTTGATTGTAAACGTAATGCCGAATTGAGGCTATGATATACACTGTAAGGCCCGGTTCAGACGCCGATCTTTTCATGAGCCGAACCTAATTCCTTGAAGTACCTACATGAAAAGATTGGCGTCTGAATCAATGTGGAACGGCTATTTCAACCTGGAACGGCTCACCCGCTCTTCCCGCCTGGCTTGGCAAAGAATTTTGCCTTTGGAACGGCTTCGATTCAGACGGCCGTGCTTTTCATGTGCCGATCCTGATGCATAACCAATAATGTACTTTGCAAGCAGTTAGATTGGTTTTACTGAAACTGTATTTGGAACAGCTAAAAAGAACGGCGTTTGAATCAACAGGCGTACTTTTGTTAATTTGGGTCCGTCCAAATTCGAATTGAGTTCGGCGTCTGAACCGGGCCTCAAGTATTACTTTGTTCGCGTGGACTTTAGTACTCTTCTTCGGTGATAAGAATGCATTCAGATTTTATGGACGGGAACTGTTACCTAGTTATTCTCACGACACCATTATATGTATCTTCGCCAAAATCAACCTCGTATTAAATTACATTGGTAAAATAGATATTTAAGTCGCAATGTTTGTCAATAATATTGGGGTTTGCGCGGTAGATGAACAGATCGAGAAAAATGAGTGAACAGAATCCTTATCAATTCACATGCCTAAGGTGGATTGTCTTTCAAAAAATTAGTACCTCGATTACCCCTATTGTGGATTGTTTCCCTGAGATTTACTGATAGGGAGTTCAATATATTTCATTAAGTGTAAATCAAGTGTTTCCGAAAGGGCTGTGTTTACCGGAAATTAGATAAAGACTTGCTGATGTGTGAACTTGTTCTACGCTTTGTCCTTGTAAGAAGTGTCCATATCGACTGATTTAAATCATAACAAAGACTTAGTGTAAAAGCATAGATAAAGATTTAAGAAGATATCAACTTAAAAACGTTTTTCCGTACTTAAAAAAAAAGTTAAAGATATGTTTTTTGTTTTGAAGTCAGATCAATCGGTCAGTGTTCATAGGATTTGGAGTAACACTGGATCATGAGAAAGTTGTGATATCGCATTTTGGTAAACAGTATTAGGCTAGCTGATAGTCAAAAATCCTCAGAGATCTACTTTCATGTTTAGTAAAAGAACTTTGGTATTTTTTTCTTCTCCATAATGTCATTTTGAACGCAAATGGTGCTTAACACACCTGAAATATTTATTTACCAGTCACATTGATAATTAACATTGGTATCCAGCTGTTTACTGGTTATATGTGCAGTTAAGTTATCTAATGTCTGTTTGGCTTTTTCCTACAACAGAATACTGATATGAACAAATTTTTTTTATATTGAAATTGATGTGTTTTTTGCTTTCACACTAAGGCCTTAATTCCCAGGATCTGATTGTTAATAACTATTCTCCCTTTTACATGTCGCTGCTCCTTTAAATCAACTCCAACGTCAATTTCCTTCAATTTCTACCTGATAAGTTTTAGAATTCTCGTAACCTGTTTGTTAAATTTTTTTTGGATATTATTAGGAGAAAATGAAAACTATCAGCTAGAGCAAAATATTATATTTTTGGACAAGGGTCTCCAGATGGTTTAAAACTACAGTAAAAACCTGTGTGTAAGAACCTAGTAACAAAGAACCTTTTTGGCAAAAATTTTGGATTTTAATACCCAAAAATATAAGAACCTGTTTAACCAGCAAAACCTGCTTGGTTCTTATTTGAAGAATCATTCTGGGTAATGAAACCATGTTGTAGCAAAATATGTCTGTAACTATAAAATAAATGTTTTCTATACATTTGATACTTCCATAAAACATGTCACAATACACAGTTTCCCCACTGTATTTATGGTCCCCAGTCATGTATGAAAGGAAGTTAAAAAAAAATGTACTCCTGGGTATAAACTTCTAAACTGTATAATTAAGTACATTGTTCAGTACACAGTGTATTGTACAGTATAGTATAGAAAATTACGTCCAGCATTAAAGATATTTTAAGAACCTGTTTTGCCAAAGTTGTCAGTAAGTACCCGAAAACATAAGAACCTATTTTGCCAGACATGAAAAAAACTAGGTTCTTACACGCGGGTTTTTACTGTAGTAGAGTTATTAGATACGGTTCTATTGTTTCATGATCTTTGAGAATTTCAGAGAACAAACTTATAGGGCAGAATATTTTGTAATTGTACCTCCCTATGCATTGTGTTAAGAGGTGTTTGGTTTTGTTTCATCAGGAAAGAAAACAGTATGCAAATACTGGTACAGAAGGGTCCTTTGAAGAATGGAAAAAGCAAACAACTGTGTACAATGTCAGCACAACTTTTCAGAAAAATGCTCTTGAAGCTATGGACATGGTGCAGTTGGAAAATGAAAAGCTAAAGGAGGAGAATAAGCAATTGCACAAGCAGCTCAGTAAGATTATTTTTTTCATTGCAATGGGTTTCCATGGAAAATGTGAGCTTATATTAATCCATCAAATATTTTTGCTCAGGTATGCAGATGATTGAAACACATGTGACTTAATATGCCCCAACTAAAACTGTGGAATTCATCTGTGAATATACCTCAAGTGATATTCCTAAATGTTGAAACCTTATGTCTAATACAATAAGTTTTTTTTTAAAAATCCAAGATGAGTGGGGGTTTTCTGGTTATTACAGAAAAAGGGATGCGTTTGCTCTAAAAGTTGTTGCAAAGAACACTGGAAAGTGAACATCCCACTGAGAAAACAGTAAGCCATTCATAAATATTTTTCCTGCAAGATGCAAAAATGTTTGAAGTATAACAAACACAAGAGCTTCCTTTTGAGGAAGTATGCTCTAATATAATTCCTTGGACATTATCTGTTGTTCAATGCACACAGTTTCCCCCTTGGAAAAATTGTTCATTATTAGGGACAAATAATGTCCTTGGAAATATATTGAGGCATATCTTTATGCCATATGGAGACTTTTGTTCCTATATTTGGTGAGTGAATTAGTGTGTGTTGTATGATCATTGAGAAAAATCTTTGCCTGTATTATATTTTAAACTATTACAGACCATCAAAGGAATTTCATAAGCAACTAGTTGAAATTTAGAAATTCGAACCTTTAGTGCCGAAATAGAAACATTGTTTCATGTCATTGTTACCAAATTAGCTTTGCACTCCAAGAGAACTTGCACGAAAACTCTAATTACTTGTGCAACACGAGTATTTTGTTGTTTTGATAACAATTGATTAAAATAAGTAACAACAACTAAGTTTGTCCCATAGTATAAGTATTTGAGGAATCTCAATGTTAGCCAGGATGGTAATGGTAATGATAATGTGGGTAAACAAAAGCAGAGTAACAGCTCTGCCATTGAAAACTTTGTACATTTCTTAGCTTCATTCCAAACAACAACAACAAAAAGAAAACATGAGATCACTAAACATTTTGCATAGTTTGTAAAGGGAAACCCAACTTATCTATGTAAGTTTCCATTCAAAACTCAACGCAGCTCACATACATTATGCCAAAGTTAAAAAAATCACCTGCATTGTAGAAAAAAACTTAAACACATCCAGCCATTAGTAAAATTGGAACTAAAAATATAATTTGCTTTTTAACTGAGATGTCTGTACTGACTACAAGAGGTCCCCAGTATGGATTGGCTCTTTGTAAACTTGTGAAGTGCAAAAGTCAGACTGCCTGGGTACATTTCAATCTCCACTTCTTAAAACTTTTTACTTGAGGAGTTTGTTTTTTGATTACCTAGCTGTCACAATATGTTTTTGAGGACCTGTCACAATAATTATTTACTGATTACTGATTGGACAGTTAACACCTCCTTTTTATGATGAACCCAGCAATCCTGTCTAACGCTAGTGATAACTTAGGGCTTGAGAAAGGCTTGGAATTTTGAGTTCAAAATTGATTGACATGCTGGATGCTTTCTTGATTAATTTGCTTAAGATAATTTTTAAACATAAGCATCAGAAAGGTAAATGCTGTCTTTCCCTATATTTTTTCATACATAATCATATCCCTTAATAAGAAAAAAAACAACATATCTACTAATAAGAAAAAAAACTAGATGTCTACTCTAGGACTGGAACTCACCACCTCTTACTCTCTGGGCTTCTGGCCACCATGTCACATCTGCCCATACTCAAATTCAGGAGAAAACTTTATAATCACTACAGTAAGCAACCTGAGTGGTGACAATATACAGACGTTGGACATCTCAGCCTGTGGACCATGTTTATCTAAATGAAGTAATCTTTCCATTTTTAATTACAGTACCAAGAAGAACCCCTTAATAATCTTTATCACATGAACACCTTTTATCATTGAATAAGATGTCAAAATACAACTTTAATAAACCTTCTAAAAAGAGTGCGGGTGCTTGTAAAAGAGCAAAGTATTTAAAAATGCATTGTAAAAATTTTCCAGGAAGTGGACCCCCTGAGATATGAATTAATGCAAAAAGTCCACTCCTAGTCTTTTATTAGTCATTATCTGAGCTCAGTGGCTCCTAGCCACTTTGATTTTATGCAATTTTATTGTAAAATTACCGTGTGTAACTAACTTAACCTCCTGGTTTTGTTATAGATTTGGGCTAATGACTCCTGGTTAAAGAAGAGCTTTGGTATGGACAGGTTATTATATACTCTATTATTAATAATATTTATGCTCTTCTGCCATAGTATTGTTGAAGGATTGCAATCGTAACCTAATGGAAGAAGTAAGACAAGTAAAACAGTTGTCAAGGCGCTGTGAAAAGGAGAAACAAGATCTTCAAGCTGAAGTAGGGAGACAGTTGTTTCTAGAAAGCCAAGAAAAGCGATGCATCAAGATTTATCAGCCCCCCAGTGAACATGCCAGTGGGATGAGTATGCCTGGTAGAGTAAGAGGTGCATCCCATGACCTCTCAGGTATGGGGGCTAAACTACTTGATATGTGGTAGACTTAGTATAAACTTTGTACCAACTTATCTGCCATCATTTTTTTGGCTGCTGTAATCATTGTTTTCATGATTATACTGATTATTGAATTGTCTTGTGCATTAATGATCTTCAAAAACAACTGATTTGAGATTATCTTTACCTGCAAGAAAGAAGGAATGTTCTAATTTTCAGTTTGAACCCTAAAATTTCACTCTGTTTGATCATAGACTGTAAATGTGTCAATCAATTTGATCATTTGGAAGTTCAAAACCCTCCCTCAAAATTTCACCTTTCTTTGGATAAGTATATGTGCATGGGTTGTACTGTTCCAAGGAGATCTCAAATGCCTCATCAGAATAGGAACTAAGCAGTGTTGCTTTAGACTTGCCAAGATCAGAGGAGGTTCTGAGTTGTTTGAGGAAACAGAAAGAAGAGGTGAGTTTTTCTGTTCCTTTGTTAGAGATCTTATGAAAGAATCCATCCTTTTCATCTTGTAGAGAAACTTGCTGTACCTTTTCACAACAGTGATGAATTATACAGAGGGGAATCTTATTCACCTCAAGAAGGAAATGAAGCAGAGGGAGCGTCTGAAATTTTGTCTGATGTTGATGGTAAACAATCTTTTGTGGAAGAAAGGAAAGAAATTTTTGACAATACTGAAATTGATGGAGAGGTCCAATTTTGCAACAGTACTAATGTACCCTCATTTAACAGCAATAGTGAAGTGGCTGCTGTTAGTTTCCATGCAGAGATTGTGGATGAATCAAGTTTTGTGGATGTGGATTTGTCAAAGGAGAGATGTGACTCAGCCTCAACCTTGTCTCAGTCATTTGATGTGCCAACTTTTGGAGAGGAATCCCAAGAGAGATCTCTTTCACCTTCAGTTGCAGACAAAGAATTTGAAAGTGGTGAGCTGAAAGGAGCATGTGTTGCTGGAGATGAAAGGGACAGAGAAGGCTCATATGAATCCTCTGCTAATGATGGTGCAGAGGGACATGTACAGTTCAATTTTAATGATCACTTCAATGGCACTGTAGATGGTGCAGTTAATTTACCAGATAGAGGCCAAGAAAGTATAATGACGGTAGACTTTACTATTGTGAATCAAGATTGTCTTCCCTTTGGAGACACAATTCAGAGGCAATGTGTTACAGGTGCAGGGATCATTGCTCAAAAAGATACTGTAACAGATCAGTCTGATTCTCATGTGGGCAATCAGTCAAATAAATGGGAGCATTTAGGGGCCAGACCAAGAGACAGGCTATTTCCTACAGTGCAAAGATCCCCAGAACCCTCTTTGCCTTATTCCTCATTTTTAAATCTGGCTCCCCGACAAGTTGCGGGACCTGAGGCTCATGGAGTAGCCAGTGCATTCTTAGAAAGACACTCAGAGGATGAAAATCTTCACAAAAGTTTGTATTACACCAATGCCCAGTTGTTGACTGAGAACTCTTCATTTCAAGGAGCTTCGCTTGTAGACAGCACGATAAACTTGACCAACTCAAACCAATTCAGACCATACATTGGTGATGCTGCTTTCAGGCCAGAGCCAATTTCTCAAACGCAATATTCCTTATTGTTCCCTCAGACTGGTGGTGCAGACAGGATAAGAACACCCTCCATGTGTGAGGAGGTAAGAGACAATTTGTTACGTATGATGCACGATCCTTGCAGTAGATAGCGCTATTTATGCAATAGCGAAAATCAGACCTGAAAAAAATCAGGCCTGTATGGGACTCGAACCACTGACCTCTGCGATACTAGTGCAGCGCTCTAC